TGATGGTACATATGGGTTAGAGTTGCTATCATTTTCTTTTTGCTAAGTACTTAAAAAAACACAACTGGCCTGGCGATAGGTTTGCCTGGTTAACTACTTAAAGAGCAAAAGCATCGACTTTGATAATGATACTATGAGGGTTAGGATTTTTGCTCAGCTCGGGTGTTGGTGTAAAAGGAGAATATCAAAAGCCTTGCTTTCTGAACAGAATTCTAAGGATTTAAATACTCTTTTCCAAATTTAGTGATGTGCTTTTACAGAACATACACCTGCCAACTTGGGGGACACACCTCTAAAATTAAGCCTCAGGTCATACCAGTTTTCAGGGGGAAAAAGGACCAAATCAAGTTTTCTGGAGCTTCCTTGCTCAGCCTTGTAGAGTTTGTATTTACTCTTTAGCTGTGAACTTATGGTTTATTAAAAATCATTATTTAGCCAAGCAGAGCAACAAATCATGCAATGATTCAATGAGGGCATCCAGCATTTCTTACAATGCTGTAATTAGATAACCGATTTGTAACTGAGTAACAATGAAAGCTGGCCTTTCTCCTCAAGAGGAAGTAATGCTGCCCATGTGAAGAACAGGAGATTTACGAGTCACGTGACCCTAAATAAAATTTTAAAAAGATGGAACCAGGCTCCTTCCTGGGAACGCTCATCTTTTCTCCTTGTCAGCACAGCTTTAACAAAATATCCGGCGTCTTGCAACACAGGAATTTCAATTGTGAATCCATCTGAGATTCCACTGTGACATGCTGCTATGCAGAGCAGATACTGGGAGCAATCCATCATCTATTAAAATTCTGTCAGCGTGCGAGTATAGTACAGAACCCTGCTCGGAGAAGCAGGGACAAATAGCTGATGGCGTTGACAAAGTCAGCATTTTTACTTCCTCGCAGCAAAAAGCAAATTCCTAATTTCCTCCAACAGTGCTCTCTCCTCAGTGTCTGCTCAGGTGAATTTCAACAAAGTGCAAACACAAACACTCTTGCTGCCCTAAGTGGGGTCTGACAACTTTCCAAGGGACCCGATCAGAGGCCGGTCACTGACAGAGAGCTGGTTTTCTTGCACCAACACCAGTGTGATGGTTGTAATGCAGCCAAGGAGACTTATCACCCCTTCACAAACGTGAAAAGCCTTTCAGCATCTTATGTCTAAAAGTAGGGAAAAATACATTACATGCAACTTAGAAAATTCAGTCTCCAAAGAAGGAAACTTAAATGGCAAGCTTCAGTTCTATGCTCCGCTTTCTATTCTTCTCTCATCCCTGAACTACCGACCCCTCTTTCTTTGCATCAGTTTATTTCTCTCTTACAGAGGTTGCTACTCCTTTTGGCCCTGACGAAGACCAGAGGCACCGTGCTCTGCTTTCAAACTGTCCGCAAGCACCCAGAAACCTGGTTAAGGTCTCAGAGTCCTTCGAGTCAAGATTAAACAAGAACCTGCCAGGCTTCGGGCTCCAATAAGGAAGTCGCATTGCTAGTGATGGCGGGAAAATATGCCTGTAACACTTGGTGCTTATAGACGAGATTTTCTCAAAACGGTGGAAGAGAAAAGGCAAGAGAAGAGAAAAGCTAGAAGCGAATCTGAATTAGGACAACATATCTGAGAGCTGTTGATACTGATACCTTGAATCTACTGGTAGATTCCAAGAGGTACTCAATGAGCCTTTTTTTTTAAAAAAAATCGTCCCCTGAGGATATGTATTTTCCATTGATCTTTAGGAAGAGAGAGTGGAAGGGAGGGGAGGAGAGAGAAACGTAGATGCAGGAGAGACACATTGACTGGTTGCCTTCTGCACACACCCAACTGGGCTGGGGATCAAACCTGCAACTGAGGCATGTGCTCTTGACTGGGAATTGAACCCGAGACCTTTGGACCAAGGGCTGATGCCCTAACCCAGTGATGGTGAACCTTTTGAGCTCGGCATGTCAGCGTTTTGAAAAACCCTAACTTAACTCTGGTGCCGTGTCACATATAGAAATTTTTTGATATTTGCAACCATAGTAAAACAAAGACTTATGTTTTTGATATTTATTTTATATATTTAAATGCCATTTAACAAAGAAAAATCAACCAAAAAAAATGAGTTCGTGTGTCACCTCTGACAC